ATCTATCTATCTATCTATCTCTCATCTATCTCTCATCTATTTATTTATTTATCTTAGTAGTGAGACACTCACTTGTCATGTAAAGAGGAGTGTGGCGGTCAGAACACAACTTTTAAGTTTCTTCTCTCCATCCATCACTTGGGTCCTGGGGATCAAACTTAGGTCATCAGCATTGGCGGGAAGTCCCCTCCACCCTTTTCACCCAGTGAACCATCTTGCTGTCCCTGTGAGAGAGATCATGCCTCCCTTTTCCACTTTTTTTGTATCCAGTGCCCAGCACAGTTCTTTGTGTAGAGCCCATGTCCAATAAGTGTTTCTTCAGTAACCGTGACACTGAAAAATAAAACAGTAGACTGGAAGGCAGAACCTATGGTACTTGTTTCATTCCACTTGTGCTACTGTAACAAATGGTCCAAGACTCTATAGTGGATTTAAAAAAAAAAAAACAAAAAAACAAAAGAGTGTTTGTTTTTCACAGTTCCAGAAGTACAGGGTTAAGATGCCAGTAGCTCTGGTGAGGGTTCAGTATCTTTTCTAAGGTTAAGCCTGGAATGCTTCTTGCTCTGGACGGGGCTGATGTGTCCATATATGTCAGCTGGGACACAAGGACAAAAGGGGCCTAATCTAACTCCTACCATCTCTTTTATAAGTCCTGAGCCCTTATGATTTAATTATATCCCCAAAGATCCTTCTTCCTCTTTGTTTTGTTGACATAGGATCTTACTCTGCAGCCCATGTAGACCTGATACTCAAGGTGTAGCCAAGGCTGAACTTAATGTCTTGGCTATCTCCCTGCTTCAACCTCTGAAGTGCTAGGATCGCTGGTGTGCAGCACAAGGCCTAGCTAAATACCCTGCCTCTTTATATTCTGGCCAGGAAAGTTAAGTTTCAACATAAATTTGGAAGAGGACACATTTGAATCATAATATCAGGTCCAAAGGGAACCCTATAATGCCAGTCTTGGCTTGGCTCAGGCTGAGGGACAGCTGTTGGAGAGACAGAAACGTATAGCCAGTATGCCTCAGGAACCTGCAAAATGGGTTTCCCCCTGCCATTTTCCTTAGCTAGACCTGTGGTTACCTATCAAAGTCCATGCTAGCCTCTAGACAATTCCAGTCCCTATTCAGATGTACCACACTAGCCTCTTGGCCCTTCTTACCTCCTAGTCTACCCTAAACTCCCAGGCTGCTGTATTTCACAGGCATCCCTCCTGGTCCATACCTCGTTTATTTCGTCCTGGCCACATACAGTCTGCCTCTTTTTCTCTGTGCTCTAGACTTGTTCAGATGCCTGTGGCTACTCTCTCTCTTAACCAAAAGAAAAATGAAGCGACCAGTTCTGCACCCTTACTTACCCATAGGAATAGGTTTTGCATTTTTATAAAAAAAAAAAAAAAAAAAACCGAAACCTCTTAGCTGGGCATAGGGGCACTGTCTGCCATCCCAGTATTTAGGAAGTCACGGGAGGGGAATTGACAGTTCAAGGCTAGCCTGAGCTACACAGGGAGCTACACCAAAAAACTATTCAAAAATAAACACCTTTTCTCTTCCTAGTCTTCCTCTAGAGAACACAGACCTAGATGGAAAGGTTCTAAATGTAGCTGGTATGTCTTGAGGTGGAATTAAGGGTCAAGCGTCAATTGAGTAGCTGCATGTGTTTTCCACTTTTGCACAGAATCTCTAATATTTTATAACTGAGCAGTTTCTGAACATGTTCTCTAGAAATATATTGGTTATGGTTTTCTACTCCTAACTATTGTTGTGCAAAGTCAAGGGAGTCTCTAAAGCACATAAAGCCAGGAACTGAATGTTTCACCATGCTCAGATGAATTGAATTTCTTGATGCCCCGAGAGATTTCTGTAGATGCTGATTGCTCGTGACATTAATGGGAAGGCAGAGAAGAAAGAACAGCTGGACTGGGGCCCAATTAAACATGCCCGTTGCTGCAGGAGAATGTTATCGAATTCTCTCTGTTTCTTTGATTATCTCAAGGTTGAAACTCCTACATCAAGGTGTCTAATGGCCCAGCAAGTGTTGAATCACATGTGCTTGCCCAGAAATAGCCTAAGCTGATACACAGAATGGCTTCAGGCTCATACCACACAGTTTGAGCCCCAGAACCCCTGCGGGACCTGAGTAGGGTCTCATCTTAGCAGTGGGACATCTCTAGCTACTAGACTTTGAATCTTCTCTAAGATGAACGTGATGGTTGACAGCCTTTCTATAGAACCAGGAGTTAAAAAGGGAACAAGATAGGCTAGGGCATGGAAACTCAGCATGTCTGAGCTCAAGGTGAACCCACACACACTGACTGTCCTAATTAGGTCCCTATTGTTGTGATAAACATCATCATCAAAAGCAACTTGGGAAGGCAAGGGTTCCTTTGGCTTACGTTACAGTCAGTAATTAGGGGAAACCAAGGCGGGAACTCAAGGAAGAAACTTGGAGCCAGGAACTGAAGAGAGGCCATGGAGGGGTGCTGATTTCTGGCTTGCACTTCCTGGCTTGCTCAGTTGGCTTTCTTATACACCCCAGGACCATCTGACCAGGGGGCTGGACCATTACTCCTCAATCATCAATCAAGAAAACATCCCACAGACTTTTCTACAGGACAGTCTGATGGACAAATTTACTCAGTTGAAGTTCCTCTTTCCAAATGACCCTAGTTTGTTTCAAGTTACCGGGGTGGGGTGTGGGTAGGGACCCAAAACAAGCAAACAAACAAACAAATAAACAAACAAACCAAAACCTAACCAGGCTTTTTTTTTTTTTTTTTTTTTTCAAAATAAAAAGGAAAAAGAGGGCTGAGGACTTAGCTCAGTCTACGAACTCTTGCCTAGCATGTGTGAGGTCCCGGGTTCAATCCCTAGTACTGAAGGAAAGGAGGGAGAAAGGAAGGGGAGGAGGGAGGAAGAGAGGGAGGGCAGGAGGGAAGAAAAGACAACCTAAAAAAGTCAAATTGAAACTGTGATTTACTATTCCGGCTATTCTGGCATCTAAGAGCAAGCGTCCTTTCCCCCTACCAGGTGCCTGTCAGGAGTCAGCCTGGATTCTGATGCCTTTGCCCCTGTTCACCTTTGTCTCTTATTAGCTGAGCCTGCTTTGGCCTTGCCACATACAGCCTCAGGCATTCATCTGCACAGTACAGTGGACACATTTCTCATTTTATGGCTGATGAGATAACTTGCGTAAAATGTTCAGCCCGCTGTAGGCCTTCCTCTTAGCATGACTGGGTAAGCTGTGAGAATGTGGAGAGAAGCCCTTTAGACACCAGGAGCCCAGGACAGTGTTCACAGCCCATCTCAGCAGGGTCAGAGGGAAGGCAAAGAATGCGACTTACTTTTAAGTTAACCTCTGATCCCACCCTCTCCAACATGAGCCAAATACTCTGGGAACTTTCCCGTTTCAGTATTTGACTTAAGTCTTAACTCACTGAGATTTCTTTAGTTTTAAAGCTCTTTAGTAATCCCACCTCTTTCCCACTATAGATTAAAAAAAAAAAAAAAAGGTCAAAATAGAAAGCTTTGCAATTGGCTCACCAAGGCGAGTGGTCTGTATAGAGCTGCATCCTGCACTAGAGAGATGAACTGAGCCATGACAGTAGCAGAAATGAAGGTTACCACAGCTAGGTAAAGCCAAAGCCAAGGCAGAGAGCCTAGGCCAGTGCAGGAATGTAGAAAGCAAACTTTCTGGAGTTCTGTTCTTTTTCAGCAGGCAAAAATACAGCCTGGTGTTTACTTGTGGCCAAGTAATTCTCTTCCATGTCCCTGCAGATGGCACAACTCCAGCTTGTCAGAGTACATAGCAACTGGTACCTGGAGGCAGAGGGCTTAATGGGAACCTGAGGCTGGAGGCTGTTGACTCAGGAGTGCCTTTAGCACTCATGTTCCTCCGTTCCCTCAGATCTCCCTGGCACTGCGCTCCAGAGGCTGTCTTTGTGGTCTGTCTAGGACAAGACTTTTCCTTCAGTTCTCTGGCTTCTCTGTCGGGACCTTCTCTCACCTTTGCGGGGGCCGGTATACCTGGTTTCTTGATAATTTACAGAAGCTAATCTGTGCCTAGCTAGCCTAGCAGCTAGGGGCTCTTAGCATTCCCTGGGCTTTGTTGCAACACCGACTGTCCCGCCCGAGAATGTGAGCGCCAGCAGAAAGACAACCTGTATACCCTCAGCCAGCAGCAGGACTCCTCCACAGGGCATGGCATGGGGGAAATACAACAAATATTTGTAGCAGGAATTCAGGAGCACAGCGGGAGTTCTCTTTGCTTTCCTGTCCCTGGATGGGGTTTATATCCTGCAGAAGGTTCAAAGCAGATCCTGGGGGAGGACTTCCGTTGATTTGTGGGTCTAAGAGCCACCCAGACAAAGGTCAACCTTTTAAGGGTCATTGTCTCTGTTTAGGTATACGGCAAAACCAGTCTATTCCCCTCCAGCTAAAAACTCTGCTTACAACTCTGCGACCTGTGGATTCTTAACGCCAGCAATTTAAAACTCCTTTAATTGGTTATCCAATATCAAGGGGTCAGCCCTGACAGTATATACATTAAAAGACAGAGCAAGTTATATTTATGAATTTAGGTCACCGCGCACATAAAAGAGGCCATATTTCAAAAGAAAGCACGGCAGTGGGGCGGAATTGGGAGCGGGAGACGGGGAGTATATGCGGGAGGAGTTGGAGGAAAGGGGAGAATACTGTAATTATATTTTAATTTAAAGAACACAAACCATCTAGGCTTAAAAATCAAGGGGAGGGGGAAAAAACAACTGGAGAGAAAAAAAAACGAGTTTCAATATCATAACGTCTTAGAGAACTTTAAGTGGGGAGGGCTATGTATGTTCTTGAACTGCAATTTTGGTAAAAAGCAAAACAAAACTCAAGTGTGTGTATTGCGTGTATGTGTGAAATTTCTGTCTCTTTCTAACTGCTCCCTCTCTTAAGTGTGGGGCCAGACAGCTCTCCACACTTTCTCAGGTGTAAAGGGAAACAATCTCCGCCAGTTCGATGAACGCTTTTCCAGCAACTGTCCAAGTCCGCAACCCGGCAGCCGCAGAAGTGTGCAGTACTGGACCAGCAGAGGAGCGGCGGTGGGGGCAGTGGGTAGGGCCAGCGTAGGAGGTGCGCGCGCAGGTGCAAGCACCGCCCTGGGCGGGGCCAGCAGTGATAAGGGGCGGGGCGGGCTCTGGTTCGCGCGGGAGAGAGCGAAGAAAGTACCTGGGGAGGAGGCGGGAGGGAGAGAGGGAAGGAGGAGGAGG